ATTTATTAACAGGCTTGTTTTTGTGTGGGTGTTATGTGTGTGCTTGCACGTCTGTATGTATGGAAAATCACTTAAGGCTTTTATCTCACAAAAAGTTTTCTGTCTTAAAAATCTGCTTTAAGAAGCTGGGTGTGGTGATGCACACTTTAGTCCCAATGCCTGGGAGACAGAGGTAGGTGGATCACTGTGAGATTGAGGCCAGCCTGGGACTATATAGTGAGAGCCATCTCAAAAGAAGAAAAAAAGAAAGGAAGAAGGGGGGGGGGGGGGGGGAGGGGGGAGGAGGAGGAGGAGAAGAAGAAGAAGAAGAAGAAGAAGAAGAAGAAGAAGAAGAAGAAGAAGAAGAAGAAGAAGAAGAAGAAAAGAATTTAAGAAAGAAAAGCAGCTGATGATGACTCAGAGCTTAAGAGGACCTGGGTTCAGTTCTCAGCACCCACATGGCAGCTCACAACCATCTGTAACTCCAGTTCCAGGGGATCTGATGCCCTTTCTGACCTCCATGGACACTAGGCACATACATGATGCACATACATACATATATGCAAGCAAAAATGCTCATGCACATAATTTAAGAAAGAAAAGCAGCTGATGATGACTCAGAGCTTAAGAGGACCTGGGTTCAGTTCTCAGCACCCACATGGCAGCTCACAACCATCTGTAACTCCAGTTCCAGGGGATCTGATGCCCTTTCTGACCTCCATGGACACTAGGCACATACATGATGCACATACATACATATATGCAAGCAAAAATGCTCATGCACATAAAATAACTTCCATGTGCACATCTGTATATCTTCATGTGTTCTATGGTTCAATAAGGTCTAAAGTTACATTTGTAGGTGACAGAAATGATTCACGGTGCATCGAACATTTCCACACTTTTCTCACTTAATCCTCACAGCTCTAAAAGCACCTGCTTTAATTTCTAAAGTTTATTTTAAAACATACATAATAAAGATTACCAGTGACTCCCTATATTGAAATTTTACTTCTATGGGTACAGACGCAGCTCAGTAGTAGAATCTTTGCCTATCACGAACAAGGGCTCTGGACTCCATCTCCAGCACTGCCATACACAGCCCCCAACCTACATACACACGAACTGTGATAAAGATCAAAGAAGAAACTAATTCCCTCATTTAAAAATTCAAGAGCATAATTTCAAGAAACTCACCTTTCAGATTATCAAAGTGTACCCAGGAAGCAGTCTTTGGTTTTTCAGTTTCTTTATCACTTTCGGACACAGTTTCTTCTGTCTCAACTTTTTTCACTGTATCTACTTCTGTTTCTTTGTCTGCATCAGTGAATTTTTCTTTGTCACTGTCGTCTTCTACATCAACAAATTTCTCTTCATCAGAGTCCTAACAAAAATGGTTCGATGAACCTGTTAATTAACTGGAAGTTGTAACAACATCTGTATTCATTTATGTGATACAGAGTTTCAAAGAAGACTCACTTATTGCAATTCTGGTGAAAATGAAAATATTAATGAAGTAAAGTGAAGCTCATCAATGCTATTAAGAGTAAGAGAGAAGATAATACCCTTTACTCCTAAACATAACAGAGCTACATTTTAAACTACCTGATTTTGGAGCTTGAAAAACTCAGTCCTCAAATACTTGTGCTGTAAATGCAGGTAGGTGCTATTATATCCATTTCACAATTGAGGAAACAGGCAGTAAGAGATCTACTAGATCTATGATTGTGCATAATATCTCATTTAATTCCAGTATCTACTGCAGTGCACTTTATCATGTAATAGGAGTCAAGCTTCCTGCCTGCCTTGTTAGCTTTCAGCTAACAGTAACATCTAGTCTGTCCAACTTAAGAACTTCCACTGTAATATGCTTCAGAGAAATTAAGATACTGTCGTTAAAATAAAGAAAAACACGAAAAACACAAGACCAACTAATGTATCTCAGCACCCACTAGATTCAATAAAGCAATTGTAAAATATACCGGGTGATCATCTAGTTGACTTCTTAAGTCTGGCTTTGCTTTAAGGATCTCAGACACAAGATACAAAGCTCCACATATAAACGGCGGCATCTGTGTACAAGTAACTTGAAGTAATCTCTTCACAAAGGCCTTCACCCGGCGCAACATGATGTCTGCTTTCAGAGATTTGTAGAGAAGGTTAAGAAACATAGCTTGCTTGGAACACGTCATCAACCCTGGATCCAACATCTTTCTGTAAAATGAAGTCAAGGTCAAATGTTCATAAAAATCACCTCACATCCAGCAGTCAGTTTAGACTCTACAATCAATGACAATAATCTCACCTTAGGGATACAGTCTCTATTTAAAATATACCAGAACAAGAGACCATTTCTGCCCTAACAGGTAGGTGAATACAAATCACTGACCTGAAGAGAAAAAGTGACCATGGGACAAAAGGAAAGAAGTCATTGAAGACGCATTTTTTCACCTGAGTTCCTTTCTCTCTTCCAATTGTTTTATGACTCAACAGTGTTCAATCCTAACAGTGAAGTTTTTTTTTATAGAGATATGGAAATCCACCTGGAAGGCTAAGCAAAAAACAAATAATAAAAACTGATACCTGCCAGGCATGGTGGTACACGCCTTTAATCCCAGTACTAGGGAGGCAAAGGTAACATCTAGTCTATCCAATTTAAGAACTTCCACTAGTCTGCTGGACTTCTCCAGGCCAGTCAGGGTGAGACTGTTTCAAAAATAAAACCACAAAACTTGACACCTATAAAGCAGTAAAGAGTGTTTGTCTTGATGGCTACCTAATATCTATCTGGATGAGGCAGGCCCCTGCTTCACGTGGGTCTAGTGAAGACCACCTCTGAGTAGTCAACAGGAAACTGTGAGGACCTCAGAGCACATCTGGTCCATTGCACTATCCCTCCCATACACGCCATTCTGTCCAGAATGCTTTTCCCCATCTCTTGGCACGTCCACACTATCTATAACTGGCTCTTCTATTATTATTTCTCAGCCTTATGCTCTGCAGTTTCATACACTTTCTTTCCTTAGCTTTCCCACCTTTTCTCTCAAGTTCCAAGAGAACCGAACTTGTGTCCATGTTATTCACTGTTGTAATCCTAGTGCTTGAACCCAAGTTTCCTTCAATATGTTCTGAATGAATGAAATCAACTTCCACAATAAGTGGTTGCATATTGCTCACTTTCTCACCATTAGTCCAGTATGGACAATATGCTTTGCTAGAGATATCCTTCTTTGTGCTGGAGATCAAACCCAGGTCCTTGTGCCATCTAGGTAAGTGTTCTACATAGCCCTAGAAATATTCCCAGTCCCTAGAAAACCCTTCTTTATCTATAGCTGAAATCACTCCTGTGTAATTTTCCACCACAAACTGTACTATTTGCTGAAGCAATAAAAACCCAATTATACCTTCACACTACAGCCTTCCAAACAGCTGAGCCAATTTAGTTATTATGTATCCTCTCCCCTAAAGTTTCCTGCAGGCTGCTCAACTCTAATCTAATCAGGATAATTTTTATTCAGTGTATGTGTGTGTGCGCGCGTGCACAGAGGGTGTTAGGCATCGAGCCCAGGGCTACTTAGCATGCACTCTACCACTGAGTTATACCTCTAATTCCCTCATGTAATTTTTATTTATTTTTAAAATTATTTTTTATGGGTACTAGGGTACTGCCCACAGATATGCAAATGCACCTGTGTTATGCAATGTCTGAGGAGGTCAGAAAAGGTGTCAGATGGCCTGGAACTGGAGTTATAGGAGGTTGCTAGCTGCCATATGAGTTCTAGGAACAGAACCTGGGTTCTCTACAAGAATAGCTAGTGCTCTTAACTGCTGACCCATCTCTTACAATTTTTAAATAAAATTTTAAATTCTCATTGCTGAATCCTAAAGATGTCACTCATATATTAGAACACTCAGAATCAATTCAAACCTCTAGATTTAGCTTTGGTAACATGCGGCACCATTACTTCTGTTCAGAGCACTTGTATGAACTTTTCTCCAGGGTACTACATTGAAACTACTTAGACTTGGGGAGTGTTTTCAGAATGCTCTGCATATCCACTTCCCCCAGTTCTGTGCTGTAATCTACTTTGAAACACTGTGATTCAACTTTCTTTCTTTACACTTAAAACTTTCAACATTTCTACCCATTCAACTGTGTTTTAGTCATAAACTCCATCCCATATAAACAGACACCTGAGAACAAAGACAGCCTAATGAACTGAGGGATCAAAGAAATGACATAATTCGATTAGTCAAAATATGATCTATCAGAAGACTTCAGTAACATGCTCTCTGTCAAATCATGGAGACACTTTTTGTTTAGATTTAGAGGATTCTCAGTGAAACTAAAAGCAAATAAACACTTCCAGTTGTGAGAGCTGCTGGCAAGTAGTAAGAGAAAGAACAAAGGCGTGTGCTCCAAGACCAGGGACTGTGATGGTAACAGAGAAAAATGTCTTCTAACAAATTAGATTCCAAATATTTCTAAAAAATTACCAGTTCTCATGACCCTCAAAATTTAAACAGTGAGGTATGGTGGCACATGCCTTTAATCCCAGCACTTGGATGGCAGACACAGGTGGATCCCTGGGCCAGCCTGCTCTCCATCGAGAGGTCTAGGGCAACCACTGCTACATAGTGAGAGACCCTATCTCCACCCCCCCCCCAAAAAAAACAAACCCTCAAGACCCCAATTCCTCTATATTTTCAGCTTTGGAACATTTCCCAAACTATAACCACTAAGTATCTACTTTAAAAGAAACAGTAGGCTGGTAAAAAGCTGTGGAAAGACCGTGGATATTCTTTTCAGTATACCAGAACATGGAACTCTAACATCAGTAAACCTAAATCTGCGGCCTGACTGACTCGTCTTAACTACGTGACCTTGCATAGATTACTGTCTCACAGACTGGAGAGCTGTTGAGAAGATTAAACTAATGTATACTATTACTAAGATAGCAGTTATCATTATCAAAGCACCGTGTTAGGCACTGCAACACTAACGTACACTGTATTCACTCTCAAGGGTCCTTTAAAGGTCCATGTGGAAAAGGCATGGCCCTAGGTAGAGCTACTGTGATAGTGAGGTGAGGTCTTGGTTGGGTCACTAGGGGCTTGTTCTCAAAGACGACTGTGGGAAGCTGGTTTCTTTCTCTTTTCTTTTTTACTTCCTGGCTATGCTATGACCTGAATGATTCTGTTTCTCCATGGGCTTCTGCCATGTGCTGTCTAACTGACCAGACCAATTATGGATCAAAGCCTTCATTAACTCTGTGTGTGTGTGTGTGTGTGTGTGTGTGTGTGTGTGTGTGTAAGTCAGAGGACAACTTGTGGGAACTGGTTCTCTCCTTTTACCATTCAAGGAATAGAACTCACTCATCAGACTTGGTGGCTTTACCTACCTTGAGCCATTCTCACTGGCCCTGAAACTTTTCTCTTTAAGGTCCCAGTGAATAACTACATGAATAACTTTGGGGACATTTCATAATCTTCATAATAGCCACGAGATAGGTGCCTATCTCTGCACTTTACTAATAGAATATGGTAAAATGAGATTAATCACATTACTAATACAGTTTTACTGAAAATTAAATAATTTGCCCAAAGTTACACAGTAAACTACTGGCTATGATTCAAACTCAGATAATTGTGACTTAAATCTAAACTATTAACCCCTATTTTCTATTTTCCTTCATAAACTATATGCATATGTACAACTGTAAAAAAAAAAGATGTTAGGTGGGATGACACATCACTTTAATCCCAGGAGGGGAAAATCCTTTTGAAGGCAGAGGCAGTTGGATCTCTGTGAGATCAGGGCTAGTCTGGTCTACATAACAAATTCTAGGCCAGCTGGGACTACAGGGAGACCCTGTCTCAAAAAACCAAAGAAGAAAAACAAAAAATGAAAAAAGAAAAAGTTCCTCAACATAACCTATTGGCATTCATAAGACAGTTCCAAAATGCTTATTGTTCAAAATACCATGCATACATCAATGAGTTGCAGGAGAGTAGCAAAATTCAGTCAAAACCCCCTTTAAATGCTAAAAAAAAAAAAAAGGCCAAACTCAAACAAACCTATAAAACACAATATAAAAGAATAAAGAACTCCAAAACCTAAACAAAACACCACACCTAAAATCAGGAAGCCCCAACGCTCCCACTTAACATACTCTCTAGTAAGGGCCTCTAGCTGGGATTTCTATTCATGGTATGACATCCTGTGCACTTAGAACATGGGCAGCATATGTAAGCACTCAAAAACTACTTGTTGAATGAATGACGAAATGGCTGTATGGAGGACAGGAAGGAGATTTAGAACTGAGGATAAGGGGGAAGGAAATTTCAATTATACTTCTGGTTCTATTCCCTTAGTATCCCAAGGTAGCAAAATGTTAATGTTGAAATAGTAGGTGGCAGTATGTCACTTGCTCAAAGCTGGTGACTACCTAGTTGCTGAGGGCGCCTACACACTAGGTTTCCAATCCCTTCCACTTGCCCAACAGAGGGGCACTACACTGTATGTACTACCCCCTTAAAAATTATTCATCATATTTACATATTGAAATGCTATGTCCTTACCTGTATAATGCTGTATAATATCGATGAGATATTGTCTGTTGAGAATTCATTACTTGGAAAAGTAGCATTAAAGCCTGTACACTAGTATTAAAATTTACAACATGCAACACTTTGAATAATGTGTCCACCTGCTCCCGCACTTTGTCGTCACTGGTCTGGGAATAAGGGTATGCTCTATTCACCCCTGTTAAAAGGGCACTGAGCATTTTTGATTCAATATCTTTTTTCTTGATACAAGTCCGAAAAAAACAAAAATAAAGAGTTATTAATTTGTTAGCCAATTCACTTTCTTCATGGGAGAGGGCCATTTGATTTAAGAAGCAAATTGCATAATACTGAGCTTTGGGGCTGATATTTGAGCGAAAGAGGAGCCTTTCTACTTCTCCACACACAACTCCTTTCATATTGGGATGTTTACGAAGTAAAATCTCTAACAGATGGGAAGCTTTTGTGGCGATTCTGTTCTGAGGATCTCCCAGTTTATTTATGACCTGCACAAGAAGCGCCTTTTCTTCCTCAGGCTTATCACAAAGAAGCTCATGAGCAGCTATCAGAGCTCGAGTTTTAGTGGTCACTAAGGAATCATGACTTAAAGTTTCTAAGACCTGTACAAATTCAGCCACTAAGTGTTTCAGCTGGTGTTCAAAGTACCACAATATTAGTCTTCTATCTCTTGAGTCCTTGTTGCCACTAGACAATTGCTCCAATTTGTTAAAAGGATGTTGACTGAAAATCCGCAGCTTCCGACTATCCGGCAAAAGGTCCGTAATGAGTAACTCTTTGAAAGTATCCAAAGCCATGAGGCACTGTTGCTTACTGCCCTTCTTCTTAACAAGGTTCACAAGCGTTTCAACAAACTGGAGTGTATGAATAGCATCATCCTGGATGAGAAGGATCATGGCTGCCATCCTGTCACCCAGTGTCCCAGATGACACAATGGCCTTCATCCAGGTGGAAGAGGCTCCCTTTTGATTTGTCTTACTTTTGAACAAGTTGACTTCATGCTCATACAGCTTCTGAGCCAGTGCTTTGTACTTAGACACTGTATCTTGAGGCTGGGGTTCCAGAGAATATTCATTGCAGTACTCCAAATCATACCATTTGCCTCCAGATTTCAGTAACAAAGTGGGCCTCTCAAGAAACTCAAACATGTCCTGTTGATCATCTTTCTTGGCTTTTGGTATGGAACTGTTGTTACCAGAATGCTGTTCTGGTCCATTCTTATTTTTCGCTTTGCTTATGGATGTCCTTTTGATTTCTGCTGGTTTTTGCTTTTTATTATCTACTTTAGATACTTTTACTTCTTTTTGGCTGGCATTTTCTTTTTTATCTGGCTCATCTTCTTCAACTGAAGATTTTGCATACTTGGCCAAATTAAGATTCTGAATAAATGCCTCCAATTCACCTTGCTGAAGGTCATCTATTGCTCCTTTTTTGCCTCCATCCACTACTTCTTCATTCTCATCCAAAGCAGCCAGCATAAGGTAATCTTGCTATATAAACACACAGAAAAGTAAATATATTATAAACCCAGCACATCAGCTACAACTTCAACTTTGAAAGCAACAAAACCCAATTATTATACTATTATTACCTGGACTATCACCCAAAATCCAAGTAAGTATTTCAAGGGCAAAGATCTGAATGTGAAGAACAAAACCACACACACACACACACACACACACACCCAAAACAACCCCCCCAACATACCCAAATATGTAAATACAACATAACTAAAAACATAATTTCAGAATAGGAAAACCCCAAATGTAACATAAAACTCAGGGCTAAAGTATAGGATCAGTAAATTTATCATTCTTTCTCACACAAAACATAGATAAATCAAGATAAATAATGACTAGAAAATAGAATAACCACTGATACTAAAGTAACTGGTCTTAATATTTCTATATAAAAGTTCCTACACATTGGTAAGAAAGCCACAAATACCCAACAGAAAAATGTGGCAAGGATATGTACACTATAGGGAGAAGGTTCTTGAAGAATCGTGAAGATAAGAAGATGCTCACTTCCACATTTACAGAAATTCAATTAAAATCACAATAAGCATTTGTAATCTGTCAGCTGAACATTGATAAACGTTTATGAGCAGGCGGGGAGATGGTTCAGTGGGTCAAGCACTTGCCACACAAGCCTGGAAACCCGAGTTCAATCCCTGGAACCCATGTAAAGGAGAGGAGAGAATTAACTTCACAAAGTTGTCCTCTGCTTTCGACATTTGGGCACCCACATACAGACAGCATACACGTACACACACAATACATTAAAAAAAAAAAAAGCTTATGAAAGGTAGTAGCGTAGGGGAAAGGGCTCTTTTGTAGACAAGTGAAAATAAACTGACACAACATCTGGAAGACCAAATGGTCAACTTCAATCCAACCGACAGGGCATTTACCCTTTAGCCCAGCAGTTCCATTTCTGCACATTTAGACTGCACATACACTAGCGTTCAAAACATTGGGTCCACGAGGTTACGGACCAATAAGTCAGTTTTCTCCGCCGTGATGGAGTGATGGTTACACAAGATCGCCTACATTCTACGGAAACATAAGCGCAGGAGAAAACGTTCAGTCCAAACTTTTTTCCCAACAGCAAGCTGCGGAAAGAAGTACCGGACGCAGAGGACACGTTCGGAGGCTGGGACCCGGGTCCACACTTGCCGGCCAGCTCCCGAGCCATCATCCCCTTCCTGGAGCCTGCGCCGTTACCTTGGTGCCTCCGAGGCGCAGCACTTCCTCCAGGGAGAAGCCATTCTTGGCGGCATCGCTCTCTTCGGCGTCTTCCTCGTCCGGATCTTCGGTCACCTCTTTCGGACGCCAGGGCCGCTTCGGGTGGAACTCCAAAGGTTCCTGGTCTGCCGACATGGCTAGAAGAGCACGCGCACACAGCTCGTACCTCACTTCCGCTTTTCCGTGACGTATTTCCTGCCGGGGGGGGTGTCATCTCTAGGAAGTGACCATAATCCCGCCCCAGGGCGGAGCCTGGCCGCTGTGAGCTTTAGCTATGAGCGTTCTAGTGCGGTGTGGGGTTGTCCGCGCGGGTAAGCGTCCCTAGGGTAGAACCGTGTTTCCATGGAAACTGCGTAGCGTGGGTCCCGAGTTCCTTAATTGCATCCCGGTGCTCCGAAGGCGCTCGGGACTGGAGCTGGAAGCCCGGCAGCAGTCGAGGCTGTGTGGGTGGCGGGGCTGCTTGCAAGTGTAAAAGGAACGATTTCTAATGCGTGGTGTTTAATCATGTTTTTCAGTCATTCCCCGTCTTTGGAGAGGGAAATGCTTCAGTTCCGGAAATGAGCCGGCAGAAAGCAACCCGGTGACACCGATGCTGCGGCATCTTATGTATAAAATTAAGTCTACTGGCCCCATCTCTGTGGCGGAATACATGAAGGAGGTGTTGACCAACCCAGCCAAGGTATGCTTGGAGTGCGAGTCATGCGGGATGTGTGCACCGAGGAGCCCGAAGGTCCTGAGCCCCAGCAGCGGAGAGCCTTACAAGGGAAGAGAGATCTCTGAAGTCCTGGAGATAGTTTCGTCAGTTGATAGGAGCTGGGTTAAGTCAAGGGCAGTGCCAATAAAGAGGCTAGGACACTTTCCAAGGTGTTCAGGAGACAGAATGTAGTTTGGAATTTATGAGTTAAAGGACGATGACTTTCTATTGGGGTTGTGCATTTTTTTTGCCAGAAGGGAATTCGAGAAGGGCCCTCCTTAGCAAGCAGGGGAAGGATGTTATGGCATGAATTTGAAGTGAGTATGGAATTCTTAGATGTATGTATGTATGTATGTCTATATCTACCTATAATTTTCTTTTTTTAAAAGAGATTTTATTTATTATTTTTATTTTATGTGTGTGCATGTATTACCTGCATGTAGGTAAGTGCACCCGTGTCGTGCAATGCCTGCGGAGGTCAGAAGAGGCTGTGGGATCCCCTGGGACTGGAGTTATGGACAGTTGTTCGCTGCCATGTGGGTGCTGGGATTGGAACAACCAGTGTTTTTAACCGCTTAGCCATCTCTCCACCCCTCTATCTATAATTTTCAATAGGCAACTGAAGGGAAGATAAAAATTTATTGCCTGAGGAAAAATTCTTTTGTGTGTCCTGGAGTGACTTCTGTAGGCATGGAAACACGCTCTGGATCTTGAGAATGAAGAGTCTGGGGCTTTCCTGTTTTAGGATTTAATTGGACTGCCTTATCTACAAGCAATAAAAGACTGTAGTTCTTTATTGCAGAGTATTTCGCCTGCATTAAATAAACATGACTTCTGTGGAACTCTGGGATTGGTTTGGTCTATTGCTATTGGATATGGTAGTGTGTTTCAAGTGTTGAGAGTTTCTTAAAGGCAGAGTATTTTAATGCTTGTAGGCAGTGTACCAGTATGTAGGTGGCTCACACTAGCAAGCTAGTAGAAACAAGGTAAAAAGTGGATGGTTTGGAAATGTACTGGACTCATAGGATTTGCTGATAGTTATAGAAGGGCAAAGAAAGAAAGGGATCCAGACCGATTCCTAGAATTTTAGCATGAGCAATTAGGTGATGTTGGTGCCTTCCGTTGAGATTGTCAAGACAAAGGGACCAGGTTGGAGTACTGGGGATGGGGATTTGCGATAGGAGTGGACTCACAGGTGCTCAGTTAGTGGTGATATCCAGGTGATTAAGTAGGCAGTTGGCTAGAGAAGTCCAGAGTTCAGGATGAAAATACATAAATTTTATTGTCATCAGTGTACAGCTAGTGTTTAAATTTAAGGAACCAGTGGAAGTGTACTGACAAAAGGTTTCCCAGCATTAAGACTTGGAGTGATTCTAAAATTTAGTGTTGAAGTTCTTAGCCTGAAAAATCTCTGAATAGAAATATGAAACTTTATGACCTTGAATCACAAAACATTTACTCCTGTGTCTTCATTAACTTCTTATATAGCATTTCTTCAGCTATGAACATAGGCAACACCTAGTAACATCAGCAGTGCCTGTGACTTTGTCATCAATGGAAAGTATCACAGGTATCTCAAAAATATCACTGCTCATCCCTACCTGGTATGTTTTTTTCTTTCTTTAAAAAAGTATTTTTTTTTTTAAATTTATTTATTGTGTATGAGTGTATTACCTGCCTGTGTGTAAGTGCACTTGTGTTGTGCAGTGCCCTCGGAGGTCAGAAGAGGGTGTTGGATTCCCCCCGGAACTGGAGTTAGGAATGGTTTTTAGCTGCCATGTGGGTGCTGGGATTTGAACCTGAGTCCTCTGCAAGAACAGCCAGTCCTTGAGCTGAGCTGCTGAGCCATCTCTCCAGCCCCTGTTTTTACTTTGATGAGTTTTCTTGTTTTTCGTTTTTTTAATTTAAAATTAAAATTGTTTTTTGGAAGTTTCCTACACAGCTGAATGCATTCTGATTACCTCTGTCCTCTCTTATCTCTCTGTCACCCTATCAGCCTCCTTTCTTCCTTACAAAACCATTTCACACCTTTATGTCTTTTTGTTTTGTCTTGTGACCCACTGATTTTCACACGGGTTTGGGGTTTGGAATATCCATTGGAGGCTGGTGGAGGCCAGCTGGGCTCAGGGAGCTGAGGAAGTGTACTCTAGAACATGGATTAATTCTCGCACAGGATAGAAGTCCACAGCCTGCTACTAAGTGTGAAGTGGTAGAATAAAGCCGACCGTCTTAAACTGTGAGTCATGATCCCATTTGGGGATTGTGAAAAATTTGGCAACAGTAAAATTTTCTGAAAGTGCAGCCTTGCTCCTGAACACAGTATGTACACTCTGTACTACATGCTTCACAGTACCAATGAAGCCATTGGATGTTATAAACTGCAGTGTTTCCACTGTTACACACAAAGTTTTCTTCTCTTTTTTTAAAATTTTATGTATATGAGTGTATTGCCTGCCTCTGTGTAAGAGGGTGTTGGGTTCTCCTTGAACTGCGGTTACAGATGGTTGTTAACCGCCACGTGGGTGTTGGGAATTGAACCTGGTCCTCTGCAAGAGCAGCCAGTGGCATCTCTCCAGCCCAAGTTTTCTGCTCTTATAAAAACATAATGGCAAGCTGGGTGTGGTGGTCCACACCTTTAATCCAGTCCTGGAAGGCAGAGGCAGGTGGATCTCTGTGAGTTCAAGGCTAGCTGGGCTACAGGAAAACTGTCTAAAAAAAAAAAAAACAACAACAAAAAAAACCCAGGATGGCTTAATCAGAGGACTAACAAGACATTTTAATATTTTCTCACCATCAAAGTATCAATTAGTATGTCTTTGGATTGTGTTATAACATTTGATTTGAAAATAGATGCTTGAGGTACTGACACGAGTTTCACAAAAAAATTACTAAATGAATTTTGGCTTCGAATTAGGAAAGAATTTCCAACAATTTCTGGAATGGCCCAAAATAAACTTATGCAATTTTGTACTATTTGTACTATGTGAAGTGGCATTCTCAGCTTGATTATAAAATAAAAATATTGATCTATTCTGAAAAGTATTGGCAACTGTTCTATGACTTGCCATATCAAATGTTCAAGAAAGATTTCTTTATGTAAAAATAAATAAGCATATTCATCTCATAAGTACACACATTCGCTTTTCTCTTTCTTTTTCTTTTACTTTTTTCCCTCCTTGGCTTTTTGAGACAGGGCCTCTCTGTAGCCCTGGCTGGCCTGGATCTCAGAGATCTTGCCTCTGCCTCACGATTGCTGGGGTATGAGGTGTACACCACCACTCCTGGCCTTGTCTTTTCTTTAGTAAATGATAAAAATCAATGTATTCCTAAGAACTATTTAAAAATAATTTATAAGTATCATCAATAAATGTTTCATTTGTATATCAATTTTATAATACCTACATGTTTGGAATCACATAAAAGTTTCTTGGGTGAAAAGGGTTTACAAGTGGAAAAAGTTTAAGAAGCTCTAGAAGCACATACCATTAATTCAGCACTTGGGAGGCAGGGGCCAGCCTGCTCTGCATAACATGATCCAGGACAGCCAGAGCTATGTAGTGATACCCTGTGTTAAGAAAGGCGGGGAGGTGAGGATAGGAAAGAGGAAGAAGAAGGAGGAGGAGGAAGAAAAGAAAAGAAAAAAGAAAGGAAAGAAAGAAAGAAAGGAGGAAAGGAAGAAATAAAGCCAGCCAACCAGCCCTGGACTTGAGAATGCATGAGAATTTTTTTGTTTATTTTATCCTAAGACCTAGTCTTCCTGTGTAGCCCTTGGCTGTCCTGGAACTCACTGTGCATGCCAGGTTGCCTTCAAACTTGCAGCAATCCTCCTGCCTCTTTTTTCTGAGTACTGGGGTTATAGGCCATCACCACCATCCTCCCTGGACATAAGGAAGTTTTAAAATAAAAGCTATGCAGTATGCAGACTTTCTTGAAAGTTAAGCATTATGCTAAAATTGGGATATGAAGATACATAAGACATTGTCTTCTCCCCCAAATAGTTACACCTTCTGATCAATAAAGTGATAGACATATGAAAAAGCACTGGGTTTAGTTTTAGGTTTGAAGTCTTGGGAGAAAGAGGTCAGTGAAGATGGCATTTGAGTAGCTAAAAGGGTCAATATCGCTAAGGAGAAATTAAAAGGGAAGAAAAGTGAGAGATTGCAGTGGTGTGGAAGCATGGACAAGCAGGGTTAATTAAAAAACAATAACCTACCTTTTTAGTCTATAAAAAGTACATAGTCACAAGAGTACAGCTGAGTGGGTTTTCACATTGAGAACACTTCATGTAATCTTCAGTGAAGTCAGAAACAGAACATGACTATAAGGCAAAACTAATTTGGGAGAGGAGGCTACAGGAGTAATGAGGGTCTTACTGTGTTGGCTTGTGAGAGCTAGGAGAGGGACGAAGAGCAGAGATGAACATTGTGTGGCTTCAACCCTTCTACTTGATGACTAATTGTTTTTCTGCCAGTTTTGCAAAATTACTATTACTGTGTAAAATTTGGATTCACTGTCCTTTTTGTTGTTATTTTTAGTTATTTATTTATTTTTTGAGACAGGTTCTCTCTGTAGCCTCAGCTGACCTGGAACTCATTATGTAGACCCGGGTGTCCTCCATCACACACAGATCTGCCTGCCTCTGCCTCCTGAGTGTGGGATTAAAGGTATGTACCACCAAGCCCATCTTGGTTATTTAGAGAGAACTTTTATGGTAAATAATTACTTCCTTATATAAGATTTTGGAGGACTATTTCTGAAGGCTTTATTTGAAAATTAATATTTTCCATTTTCTCTTTTTATTCAGGGATATTATATACATAATGATATGCTAGGAGAAAAAGGAGATTTCATCACTTCACCTGAAATAAGTCAGATCTTTGGAGAGGTAATACCCAGTGTGCATACTATAAAGGGCATGAATGGCATAAGTACTTGGGGACAGACCAAGCTATATTAGTCTGTAAGAGTGTTTTATGACTTTCTTTGAGGGGAGGGCAGTTATTTTTGCGGTTCATCAAACATTTAGTTTTTTTTAGAGGCAATAGAAGAAAATGATGGTGAGGACATTTGAAAAGTTCAGACTTCACTGTAGAAAAGGAAATGGAGAGAGAAGGAAGGAGAAGTAAGGTTTGAAAAGCGGAGAACCAAGTGAAATGTGAGATTGGAAAGAGGAAGAGAGAAATGATAAAAAGAAAAAAACCCCAAAACCAAAAAACACTGAGATAGAATCAAGGTTATCTCTAAAAGTCCCAGCCATGATTTAACCTAGTTATAGTGGAAGTCTCCCTTTAAGAAACATAATCTGGGCTGGAGAGATGGCTCAGCGGTAAAGAGCACTGACTGCTCTTGCAGAGGACCCGGGCTCAAGTCCCAGCACCCACATGGTGGCTACGAACCGTCCTTAACTCCAGTTCCAGGGGAATCCAAAGCCCTCTTCTGACCTCCTTGGGCATTGCACTATGACATGGGTGCATGGACCTATATGCAGGCAATATACTCATACACATAAAATAAAAATAATAAAGTATTAAAAAAAAAAGGAAGCAGACTGCTGGGCATGGTGGCTCACACCCTTAATTCCAGCATTTGAGAAGCAGAGCAAGGTAGATCTCTGTGAGTTTGAGGCCAGCCTGGTCTGCATAGCAAGTTCTAGGGCTACATAGTAAGGCCTTGTCTCCAAATAACAAAATGTACAGAGGAGAGAATCTTCCCTCATTTATTTCCATAAAATACATTTGATGATTTAAAAACAGGAAATCGTACATAAGTGGAAGTTAAATCTAAGTTTGAGAGGTATTAATTATATCAAAGGGTTGTGTAGTAATTTTAAATTTAAGAAGATATGGCATAGTTGAATTTCCTATGTTTTTTAAATTGCATTTTTATTTTATGAGTGTATTGTCTGCATGTAGGTAAGTGCACCCATGTCATGCAATGCCTTTGGAGGTCAGAAGAGGACATGGGATCCCCTGGAACTGGAGTTATGGACAGTTATTGGTCACCATGTGGATGCTGGCAATTGAACCCTCGTCCTCTGCAAGAACAATAGTACTCTTAAATGCTGAGCCATCTCTCCAGTCCCCTCATTCCCTGCCCCCTTTTTTTCAAAGAGAGAAGGTTTATTTTAGCTCACAGTTTTGGAGGTCTTAGTCTATTATCAATTGGCCCTGTTCTTTTGGCTCTGTGTTAGGCAGCTTTATTATAAGAGTGCATGGTGGAGCCAAGCCTGGTGGCATACTCCTTTGATCTCACCACTCGGGAGGCACAGGCAGGCAAATCTTCATGAGATTGAGTCTAGCCTGGTTATGTAGTGAGTTCAAGCCAACTGGGGCTACAAGAAGACCCTGTCTTAACTAAACAAAACAAACACAACAAGATAACACAAAACAAAATGAGTTCATGGTGGAGCAAAATCACTAACTTCATGTCCAGGAAACAAAAAATAAAAAGAGCAAGGTGATCAGTGCCTCATAGTCCCCTTCATGCCCCAGTGACTATAAGGACCTTGCACTAGGCCCCACCTCATACTCGTTCTATCACTTCCCTATAGAACCAGCTTTGAGACCAGTCATCTACCATCTCTGGCTCTTATAATCTTTCTTCCCTTTCTTCCACAATTATCCCTGAGCCTTGGGTGGCAGAGATTTGATTCAGGGATAGCACTCTGCAGTCTCTTGTACTCTGTACATTGGCCAGTTGTGGGTCTCTGTGTTAATCACTATCTGCTGCATGAGGCAGTTTCTCAATGAGCATTGAGAGATGAATTAATCTATGGACATGTCATTAGGAGTCAGTGTAATATTATGTCTCTTTAGCAGAATAGTAGTAGTAGGCTCTCCGCTAAGGCCTGTGACCTGTCTAGCTACAGGTTTCTAGGTTTGACATCAGTGTCAGGTATGGGCTCCATTTTGTGAAGCAAACCTTAAATCCAATCAGAAAGTGATTGGTTGCTCCTATAACATGCCGTTATTGGACCAGTTGGCATATCTTGCCAGGCAAATTGTTGATGTAGATTGCAGGATTCACAGCTGGTCATGGTTGATGATTACTTTTTGGTAGCTTACAGAGCACCTTCCAGCACTATGGAAACTAGCTAGTAGAGATGCTTTGAAGTCAGTACCCACTCAGTTTCTTCTTGTTTGTTCTACAGCTCATGTATATAGTCTTCAGCAGTAGGGTCTTTCTGTTCTGGTGGGTAACCAAGAACAGGAGCAAGGGCCAGTATTGTTTGAGGGTCTATGGGACCTCTGGTCAACAGCTTTGAAAGGAGCCCATTCCTAGTATTGGGCTTTTTCTTTGCTTTCTTATGTCTTCTTGTTTTCAAATACTTTTCTGTGATATCTTCCCTGAAAAGTGATATGACTGGGGCCTTTTATAGAGGAGGCTATGTTACTATTTGCTTTGATGTTGAGCTTCCTATGTGGTATGTTGTGAAATAGCCCCAGTCAGGTTCCTACCTGTGTATATAGATGCATATCAAGTAAGTTGTATAGTCATTTGTATACATTTTGTTTTCTGATAAAGTACATATTTATGTAGAGTTTTATGTTGTGGTATACTTTATACTTTATAATGTTTTAATGTCTTTCCTTGTCATAGCTTCTAGGGATATGGTTTGTGAGTGAATGGATGAGCTCTGGAAAAAGTGCAGCTTTTCAGCTGGTGGAGCTGGGCCCAGGTCGGGGTACCCTCACAGGAGATATTTTGAGGGTAGGTAATAAAAGAATGTCTCTAAGTCATGTAGCTAATCTTACTATTTTTCCAAATTTTATTCTCAGCTTTCAGCCCTACTTCTTTGATTTTATAATTCTTACCTAAAACACAATGTCAGAGTACTGTAATAGCTCGTTACTTATTGTCTATAAGCTTAAAAATGGGGGGAGGAAGAATGTAAAAGCTAAAATATGAAATGCTCAGATGATATTATAGACTATTTTGTCATCTGCATAGGTTAACTTTTTTTTTTCCTTGTTTTTGAGGCAGAATCTTGCTATGTAGCCCAAGCTGGTTTCAAACTCTTGCTGCTGCCTCTTAAGTGATGGGGTTATAGGTGTTTGCCACCATGCCAGACTAAAGTTTTCTAATTATATAAAAAGTAGAAGCCATAAAGGAAAAGATTACTGATTTCAACTACATTACAATCAGTAGCTCTTTGTTCATTATAGAAATAAGGACCTTTTGTTTTTGAAAGCTGCTATAGAATGATGACTCACAGAGTGGAAGATGGTATTTGTAACAGTATAATCAGAAAGAAATAGAGGTAAAGAACTCCTTTAAATCAATAAGAAGAAATAACAGGTCAAAGATGTGAGCAGATCCTTCATAAAAGAAAGTCCAAAAAAAAAAAAAGGGGCTGGAGAGATGGCTCAGTGGTTAAGAACACTGACTGTTCTTGCAGGCCTGAATTCAAATCCCAGCACCCACATGGCAGCTAACAACTGTCCGTAACCCCAGTTCCAGGGCATCTAACAGCTTCTTCTGTCCTCTGCGGGCATTGCACGACATAGGTGCACTTACCTACATGCAGGCAATACACGCATACACATAAAATAAAAATAATAAATAAAATATTAAAAAAAAGAAAATCCAAATGGCTAATAAAAACAAAGAATTACGTAGTTTTTGGTAGTCAGGTAAATGAAAAAGTCACAGTGAGATACCTTTGTAACCCTCACCAGGCTGGAAATAGAGTGTCAAGACCTGGTATTGGTAAGGATGAAGATATGTGGGACCATGGCAATTCTCATATACTGGTTGGTACAGCCACTTAGATTAGTTGCTGGATATCATTTGTATCAGTTACTTCTATTGTATGGTGCACAGTTTTACTGCTAGTCACTCTAGAGACAGAAGTGTATGCACACCAAAATGTGTGTACAAGAAGATAACAGTCTTGTTTAGAATAGCAAAAACCGGGGAACAACCCAAATGCCTAGAGTAGGAAAATGAATCAGTAAACTGGTACAGCCATCTAGCGGAATACCAACTTCTGTAAGAGTAAATGAAATCAAAATGCAGCCATACTTACAATGAAACAAGGTACTGAGTCAACTAGCTACTTGTAAAACAATTCATATCATGATTTTGTTTACATTAAATCCAAAAATGTGAACAGCAAACAATCTGTATTTGTTGATATAAATATATTTGCTCACGTTCATAAAGAGAAGTCAGAAAGTGATTATGGAGATAGTGGCATCTGGGGGTGGAGAGGAGGCTTTAAAGGCTTGCTCATGTCCCATTTCTATGTGCACATGCTAGATGTGTATATAGGGTTAGAGGTTGAGGTTGAGTGTCTTTCTCTAGTGTCCTTCACTTATACTGAGACAGGGTCTTTCACTGAACCGGGAGTTTGCTGATTGGGCTAGGCTGACTGGTAAGAAAGCTCTAGGAATCCCCCTGTCTCTGCTTCCCTGGGACTGGGATTATAGGTGCATGCCACCGTGCCCAGCTGTTTTACATGGGTGCTAAGCGTAGTCTCAGGTCCTCATGCTTGCACACCAAGCAGTTTACCAACTCAGCCATCTCCCCTGCCCAGATGGTGAATATGCTTTTATCATTCTTTCATTCTATTTAGTACTTCATAAAATATTTAAAGGGATAAGTAATATTTATAGATTTCAAGAGTTCTAATACTTATTAGATTTTGTTATTTTGAAACCCATTAGTCTTTTGGGACTTATTTTGTGGGTTCTTGGCAATTCAATGTGAAAAACAAAATAATCATTATAGATTTAATTTTTTTATGTGATGTGATTTTTTGCCTGAATGTAAAATTGAAGTTTCTAGAAAGAAAATATATAAACATATGACAAATAGGAATCTTGATTATATTTGAAAGAAAAATCACTCATCTAGGCTGGGCGTGGTGGCTCACACCTTTAATCCCAGCAGAGGCAGGCAGATCTTTGTGAGTTTGAGGCCAGCCTGGTCTACATAGTTCTGGGACATTTGGGGCCACAGGGAGACCCTGTCGCAAAAAGACAAAAAAAACAAAAAACAAAAAACAAAACACTCATCTAAATTTCCAAGACTTTATTTTATATTTTTAAATTGATAGTCATTTGACTGTAATAAGGTTTTAATATTTTACTATTTTTATTTTATGTGTATGTGTGTATTGCCTGCCTGTAGGTAAGTGCACCCATGTTGTGCAATGCCTGTGGACAACAGAAGAGGCTGTCAGATCCCCTGGAACTGGAGTTAGGGACAGTTGTTATCTGCCTTGTGGCTACTGAGATTTGAACCCGGGTCTTCTGCAAGAAAAGCCAGTGTTCTTAACCACTGAGCCATCTCTCCAGGCCCTGTGTTAGATATTTTATTCTTATTTTATGTGTATGAATACTTTGCCTATAATTACAAAAGTGTACCTATGCCATGAAATTCCTGTAGCATCCAGAAGAGGGTGGACTTTCTCCTTGAGCAGGAGCATGACATGGGTGCACTTACCTACATGCAGGCATAAGTCTCATACACATAAAATAAAAATAATAAATAAACTTAAAAAAATAATTTTTTCTTGGGGCTGGAGAGATGACTCATTAGTTAAGAGCACTGGCTGCTCTTACAGAGGACCCAGGTTTGGTTCCCAGCACCCACATGGTGATGGCTAACAACCATTTGTAACTCCAGTTCCAGGGGGATTTGATGCCCTCTTCTGACCTCTGTGGATGTTGCACGATATGGGTGCACTTAACACATGTAGCCAATACACTCATACACATAAAATAAAAATAATAATTTCTTGAAATTCCAGGTACTTTCAAAATCAGGCCGACAGTCCTTAAAATACATAAGGCGTATTTCTTTAAGATGGAGTCCTAAGAATTTTTGGAGTAAAAGAATTCAAAGGGATGGAAAGAAAATACCCCCCCCCCCAAGTATTACAGCTCTTTAATTTTTGACTTTATTTTGGAAAGATTTTTCTTTTGGGAAGTCCTTCATATATAGTTTCATCTCATAACTAAATTTGATTGTTTGTTTGTTTTGGTCTTTTTGAGACAGGGTCGCCCTGTAGTCCTAGCTGGCCTGGAACTTACAATGTAGACCAGGCTGGCCTTGAACTCACAGAGATCTGCCTCTGCCTCTCAGTGCTGGGATCAAAGGTGTGCGCCACCATGCCCAGCTTCATAACCAAATTTGAAAACACCATCCGGTTCAAATGATTGGTCTGTATTTATAGTCTCAAAGGTAAATAGTGAAAATTCAATTCAAGTGAACAATAATTGATGTCCTTTATGCTTTACCATTGAAAACTGTAAGTAATTTTCTTTTTTGTCCTGCATGTTTACAATGGTAAAAAGCTGTTGTGTACTAAGAAAAAATTGAAAATGTGTTAAAATCTCAGAGTCAAGGTGTCAAGTCATTGGTGCCATTTAATTTAGTTTTAAGGACAAGGTTTTACCAACTCAAAGACCAGTTTATTTCATAGAGGCTTTTACATGCAGGCTTTATAGAAATCAATGCTATATATATATTTTATTTCTTTGGTCTTTTAGAGTTCATAGACTGAAACATTGTTTTTGTGAATGCTAAGTCTTTTCATTTGTTAATCATAAATTGTCATTAGGAAACCATGTTGTGTAGTTTATTTCTTACACAGATTATGCTTACTGACTCTAATAGGCTATGATTGTTCTATATCATATCCCAAGGAAGGTGACTTGGGATAGAAACAAATACCCCAAATCTCTATTGTGACATGGCTAACTTACTATGTAAAGCGGTCAGAAAACCTGTCTACTTGACACATTGTATTTTGCCAGTATTTTTTCCTTTTTGCATTTAGGTGTTCAGTCAGCTTGGGTCTGTGCTGAAGAACTGTGACATTTCAATACATCTAGTAGAGGTGAGCCAAAAGTTAAGTGAGATTCAAGCACTGACGCTGACTGAAGAGAAGATTCCTTTGGAGAGAGATGCTGAATCCCTGGTGTATATGAAAGGTGTTACTAAATTTGGGCTTCCAATCTCCTGGTACCGAGATCTGAAGGATGTTCCCAAAGGTATTACTTCATATTGATTAAGGAAGGAATTTTGGTCAGAGCCCCTCACAGTAGTGACGGTTGACCATAACCTTTTACTGCAATAGAATAGATTATTTTTCCTAAGTTCTATATCTGTAGAGAGTAGCTGACTTTTCTTGGCAAAGAGCATTATAATAGAAGATTGCCTAAAAATTGAGCTGTGTATTTCATATACTTTTATATAAAAAAAACCCATAAGAACAAGTAAGAAAACAAAATGTAAATCTTCACTGTGCTTTTTAGCATTTCCCTGTAGCTATAATTGTACTAATGATGAGATGGCCTGAAGCAGTAGGGTTAGTCTAATTAATCTCTTGAAAATTTTCCTCAAGGTAAGCAAAGGTGTGGTGATAAAAACTCCCTAGAGTCTTTGAGGGTGCTGGTGACATGGTCTTGGGCAAGACACAGAAACCATTCCCGGTCTCAGATTTCTCAGATGGTTTCATGAAGTTCACATTTCCTTCCCAGCTAACAGATTTGAGTATAATTTCTTATAGGCCTAGTGATGATAGAAGACTTAGCTGATGATGGGGTATTTCAGTTTTCAGGTTGTTATGTGAAAAATGAGGAGTAATTGTTGTATGTTGTTCAGAGTGAGTTTTCTATGAAGAGAATAATACGGAAGTACTCCAGGTTCCAGTGTTAATGTTCAACAGAATTAATTGCTTTGAAAGGCTGAATCATTAATTTCTTTTCTTGTATTTCTAAATAGGGTACAGCTTTTATCTGGCACATGAATTTTTTGATGTTCTTCCTGTCCATAAATTTCAGGTATTGATGGAAAAGTCATGTTTATGGTTGAGTACCAAAAGGCCTTGGAGACAGCTCCAAGTAATAGTGAACACTGACAGTGCTGGTTCAGCATGTGAGCACTGCTTGCTGAAGTTACTATCACTTGGAATTTTCATGAATATGAATAATTGAGAAGCAAAAATGAAATATCAACTAGAATATTCTCCTGGGACATTTATTACAAATTCTTTAATATGGGATAAAGAAGTAAGAGAACTAAGATAGTGAACTGCTGTATGTGCAGTTGAAGGATTTATTTTGGCATGTCTTTTAAGATTGCACAGATTAAAAATGTTTATTCTTTCTGTGAGATTTAAGATTTGGCGATATGCCATGTCTACTAGCTGCTTCTGAGGCTAAGAGAAGTTCCTACTATGCAGTAACTTATTCTTCACAGCATCTGACTACTCATCCTGTTTGCCTTCTGTTTGGGGGCAGATTGTGCTGCTTGATTTCTTCTATGGCTTCATTTGTTGTTGCTGCTTCTCTGTAATATCAATAGTTTGTGTCTGTTTGAGTACTCATGTTCAAAGGAAATGAGTAATACATTTAAATAATTTTACATAGGAAAGTATGCTGTAACTGTTATGGTAGGAAGAGAGAGCTAAGAGGTATTTTTGGTAAAGGCAGTTTTGAGAATGTGCAAAAAAAATATATATATATGTATTTTCATTTTTATTTTTCTAGAAAACACCACAAGGATGGAGAGAAGTACTCATTGATATTGATCCAGAAGTTTCTGATAAACTGAGGTTTGTTTTGGCGCCTTGTGCCACCCCAGCAGAAGCCTTCATACAAGTATGAATTTGAGCTTTTCTTCTGTTTGTCTGGGAATAGTGCAGTCTTGTTTCTTTTAGCTCCTGTTTTAGCATTCCTTCCCAATGGGATCTGCTAGCAACACATGAGGTGCTTTGTATGAACAGTCAGTCGGATGACCTGGAATCAGGAGGATGGGTTAAAGTCTTTCCATGGGCTGTCTTAATGTCTTGTGTTAAGACAGTGCTTAGTAAGCAGTTACTCAGCCAGGTCCCTTTCCTGTTTCCTGTTATAAATGGTGCCATGTGCTCTACTTTATAGGTAGAGTTCCGTACCTATAAAGGCAGTGTGATGTAGACCATAGTAAAGTAACAGCTGATTGATGCTTATTAGTATTTTGGTTTTGCTCTAAAAGTTCTCATTTAATTCTACTATCATTATTACTGTATTTGGGTGAGAGCATAGCTTTCAGTCATACTTGCACCCAGACCTAAATTTGATTATATATTGGAAACAGATTGATCTTAAGAAATAATTCTGGGGCTGGAGAGATGGCTCAGTGGTTAAGAGCACTAGCTGCTCTTGCAGAGGACTCCGGCTCAATTCCCAGCTCCCACATGGCAACTAACAACCATCCCTAACTCCAGTTCCAGGGGAATCTGATGCCCTCTTCTGACCCCTGCGGGCATTGCACAACATGGGTGCATTTACACACATGCAGGCAAAACAAGAGCTATACTTTCCAACGCCCCTGTAGACATCGTGGCCTTGGGAACTGTGATTCTTTAATTTCTTGACTTGGTTAGCATTCACTTGAGAGGGAGAGAATTTTACTTTCACTTGAACTAGGGCATAGGGGGGCCAGTTGTCATCTTGAAGAGCAGTCTAAAGTAGTGTGGACAATAGCTATGGAAACCCGAGGCTTGTCAGCTGATGCTTGGAGATGCTGGCTTTATCAATTTTTATAGCTACACTAATTTATTTAATAGCACTAGGGCTAAGTGTTTATTTAATCCTCACCACAGCCCTACAGTATGTAATATGAGACCATGGACTCAGAAAGGCCAGGTAACTTGTCTGCCAGTGAATAGTCATAGTTGCTGTGGTCCAACCATAAACTAAGTCTGCCTGCCTCTACATCCATTAAACCTGCACCTCCACAGGCAAAACATCACTGCAGATCATGATCCAATTTTTTAGGGTGTTAGGAGAGAGTAAAAGTCAATGGATTTTCATAATGATGAAAATAGCAAATTTTCAAGATACTGGCACTAGCTCATAAGCTGATGTTTGTAGATACAGGATATCACTGTGGTATTTTCTTCCCTTATAGAAGGCAACACAATATACTTGAGAATTTGATTATATTGCATTCATATAATTGTTTTTGTTTTGACAGTTTTTTGTCCCTGTTAGTGTTTCTGTTCTAGGCAGACAGCCTTTCCTCATGCATTCAACCCATAAACTGTGTGTATATATTCATATTTTCATATTCATATTTTTACATGAAAATACTTTTACAATAAAATGGTATTGCACTTGGCGTTATGGGAGGTTCAAAGTACATAAAAACGCCTTTTTACAGATTGATATATCTGCATACTTAACAGACAGCATCAAAGGACCCAGTTCTATATAATAAAAGGGATGTCATGTGCAACGCTATCTAGACCATGTCATATTGAATTCATTGTAAATAAAAAATGCTGACTGTAGATATACGTGAAAACCTTTCAAGTGATCTATTGTGGTTCTAACCATTCCATTGGCAGCATGATGAAACAAGGGACCATGTGGAAGTATGTCCTGATGCCGGGGCTATCATTCAGGAACTTTCTCAACGCATTTCCCTAACTGGAGGCGCTGCACTGATTGCTGATTATGGTCACGATGGAACAAAGACAGATACCTTCCGAGTATGTATCATGATCGATCAGATTTCATTATTTGTCTTAACTTTGGTTTTTATATTGTCTAACATTGTTGTAGTCCATTATTTTTGAATTAATGTTCATACATGTTGTTACAATGACCAGTATTCCTCGATCTTCCAGTGTCTGGCTTTCCTTTGAATGGGGTCTAAGTTACAAATAGTCTTCCATAGTTGCAGAACCAAGATATGCATAGAACCTAGTAAGCATCTGAATAGTAAAAGTTTTGGGCAAGATTTTCTTCAGGTTAACTTCACAGCCTTGCCTTCATTTTAAAAAGAAAAAAAGGTTACTTCTTTGCACATTTAACCTAGCTCCGACAGTCAAATTAGCATGTATTTTAATTCTTTCCAGGTCTATTCTTTCACTCTTCCTAAACATCCCTTTAAATGTCCTTTGAATATGATGAACCCTATTGAATATTCTCTAAATATATTTAACTAGATAATATTACTAATTTTCTAGATTATTTCTAGATTATTTAAATAACCTAGGAAGGGATTAGAGAGATGGCTCGGTGATTACGAGCACTTACTGCTTTTTCAGAGGACCTGGGTTTGATTCGCAGCACCCACATAATAATACCTGTCCTTAACTCCAGTTCCAGGGATCCAACACCCTCTTGGCCTCTGTGAGCACCAGGCACACATATCGTACACTTAACATACATGCAGACCACACACTCAAACATATAAAAATAAATAAAATTAAAAAAAATACACACAAAACCTGGGGGAATATTAAAATTGATGATCTCTAGCCTTACCTCCAGGATTATGATTGACCATGTCTGGATGGAGTACAGCAACATATGCTCAGGTGATTCCGACTACATGGTTGACAGATACACTCTGTAAAACACTACCTCACTTCTGATAACCAGAGTTCACCTACAGTATTAATGAAATATCTTCTGTTGTATCATCACATTAACGGAAATGTTTAAAAGCTTTATGTTAAGGGAAACATCTCCAACTTTGTGTATGGTAGTGGGTTTTTCATGTATCCCTTCATTTGAAGGATACTATTGATAGATTTTAAACCACAGATGTAGGCCATACTTTTTAACATTGACAAGTAAAAATGTATTAATATGATGCCTCTGCTTTGATCTCAATAATATTAACTAGAAAAGGGAAAACTGCACTCTTTATGTTCAAGGGGTTTTGTGGACACAAGCTTCATGATGTCTTAATTGCTCCTGGAACAGCAGACCTAACAGCTGATGTGGACTTCAGTTATCTGCGCAGAATGGTACAAGGAAAAGTAGTCTCTCTGGGTCCAACAGAACAACGGACATTCTTAAAAAATATGGGCATTGACGTCCGGCTGAAGGTAATAGTTTACTTCACTACTTAATTTAAAAAATTATTAAATTAGGAAAAAAATATTTGAGTTAAGCTCAAGTGGCTTACTGCTGCTGTAGCTTAGCAGTAGGTTCTTGGTGTTCTAGTCTTTGCAGAAATGAGACTGGAGTGTGGCACAGCTTTCTAAGCTTCCATGTAAGGTGGAATGAAGTCTTCCAAATAGCATTCCTGTTTTTAAGAAAACCATGTTCGTGGATGTGAATTTTATAAACTGTTCTTCCAAGGACACGTCAACCTTCTTATAAAGCAAATCACCCGGGAGCTATTTGGTAAAGATGCAATTTTAATAAGGACCCCGTAATCACATTTTGGGCATTGCTGTATTGAACATTTACATCCTTAATGGTGTTGTAGCTACCTAGTAATTCTTTCTTCTGGTGACTTTTGTTAAAACATTTTTCCCCCCCTCAGGTTCTTTTAGATAAATCAGATGACCCATCAATGAGGCAGCAGTTGCTTTGGGGGTATGAAATGTTAATGAATCCTAAGAAGATGGGAGAGAGATTTAACTTCTTTGCCTTGCTGCCTCATCAGAGACTTCATGGTGGAAGTCATGAGATGAATGCCTGTCAGTCAAAACCCTCTACATCATCTGTTGCTGGTTTTGATGAACTCACTTGGCGGTGATAATTCAACTTGGGCTTTATAACTCCTCAGTATGCTTAAAAAAAAATCAAAATTGTACACTGAAGGTAACTTAAGTGTTCAAAGTATTTTATCTTTTTGAAGCTGGCAAAAATAGCCTTTATTATGTCAAGACAATCAGAATTGTACAACTTTCAGGGTTATAACCAAGTCTTGATACTTAGTAATTTATCATAAAAGCCAGTTCCGTTTAATAAAGTTGCTGTATTTCTATTTTGCTTTTAGAAAATACATATGAGGGGGGCTGGAGAGATGGCTCAACAGTTAAGAACACTGGTTGTTCTTGCAGAAGACCTGGGTTCAAATCCCAGAACCCACATGGCAGCTAAAAACTATAACTCTAGTCCCAGGGGATCTGACAGCCTCTTCTGACCTCCACCGGCATTGCATAATACAGGTGTACTTACCTACATGCAGGCAATACATGAATACACAAAATTAAAAAAAGAAATTAAATTAAAAAAAATACATATGAGATTGGGTGTGGTGGTACATGCCTTTAATCCCAGCACTCAGGAGGCAGAGGCAGGTGGATCTCTAAGAGTTCCAGGCAAGCTGGGACTAGAGGGAGACCCTGTCTCAAAAGACCAAAAGAAAAGAAAATACTTATGAGCATTGGTTTGTTAGAAACTGGAAATAAGGCAATATGGCTATTTTCAGGGATCTGATTAAACATTTGCATATTATTTCATTTAAAATATTTTATTTTAGGGTCTAGAGAGATAGCTCAGTGGTTAAGAGCACTGACTGTTCTTACAGAGGACCCGGGTTCAATTCTCAGCACCCACATGGCAGCTAACAACCATCTGTAACTCAAGTTCCAAAAGAATCTGATGCCCTCTTCTGACCTCTGTGGGCATTGCACAACACGGGTGCAGTTATAAGCACTAATACACATAAAAATAACATTTTTAAAAATTTATTTAAAATTTGTTTTTTTATAAATGTATTGCCTGCATGTATGTGTACCCATGTCATGCAATGCCCACAGAGGTCGGAAGAGGGTGTTGATTCCTCTGGAACTGAAGGTAGGGATGGCTGTCAGCTGCCATGTGGGTGCTGGGAATTGATCCTCTGCAAGAGCAGCCAGTGCTCTTAACTGCTGAGCCATCTCTCCGTTTTATTATTTTTTTGAGACGGGGTCTCCCTGTAGCCTTAGCCTGCCTGAAACTTGCTATGTAGACCAAGCTGGCCTCCATCTCACAGAGATCTACCTGCCTCTGCCTCCCTAGTGTTGGGATTAAAGGTGTGAGCCACCATGTCCAGGTGCATATTATTTTTAAAAATGAGATAAAGCAGTATATTCTGACATAGATCTCTTAAGATTTAGTAAGTGGAAAAAAAGTCAGATGTGAAAGTTTCTATAGTTACAAGTCTACTTTTGCTGAAGGAGATACTTATAACTTCATAGAAATGAATATGATAGTAGATTTTTAGTTTTTTGTTCTTTGGTATGCATATGCACATGCACAGAAAAGACAAGGAAAGGGTGCCTGGTAAGGAGTATTAATGTCCTAATCTGGCTGTAGGATTCAGAGGTGGGGAGAACTGGATGTGATGGCGCATGCCTTTAATCCCAGCACTTGGTTGGAGGCAGAAGCACACAGATCTCTATGAAATTGAGACCAGCTTGGTCTACATAGAGTTCCAGGCCAGCCAGGCCTACAGAATGAGACTTTGTCCCCTAAAACAAGACAGATGGGGAAATTTGAAATTTTTACCCATGCTCTGTGGACTTAAGTAAAGATATTATGAAAAAGGTAATAAAACTCAGTTAAAAAGACTGCAATAAACCTGACTTGTACTTAAATAAGAGTTATAAGTAATGGAGACTATCTAAAAACAATAGCTTTCCAAACAGAGCTCATTCTATTTTCAGATCAATATAAAATTTTAGTTCTATACTGAGTTCTCACTTTTTTAGATCCATAGAACTTTTATATTAATGCTGGAAATGGGCTTTATTTAGGAGTTATTTATTAGCAGCACAATCATATAAAGAGATTTGAACTGGCTCAGCAAACTTAGCTAAGTTACTCGATTTTGGTCAGAGCTATTTTAGCAGCAACTTTGCTCCACACCAAAAGGAAAAGGGGGCAACCTTGGGTCTTGGAAAATTGTCCTAGCCATGAATCATGGAATGTGCTAATTCCAGACATTTTACACCTGGCTAACCAGCTTGTTTTTGCTTCTGCAATCCACTTGCTATTTTGGGTCACCTTGATACAGGGCATAAGACCACCTTGTTATCCTGTTATTGTATGACCACCCGGTAACTACTGATTTCAGCTTTCTTAACTATACATGTTATGGCTAGGAAGTTGACTAATTTTAAAATTACAAAGTTGACTGCCAAGTTATATGACTGTATCACTTGTCTGTGTAATGATTGGTTGTTGATAAATAGACCCAAAGTTCTGCTATGTTGTACAAACCTGATTGGTTCACAAATGTCCTGTTTGAATAATATTTCTGTAATCCTATAAAAACTCTGACCCGACAATCATCAGGGCTGCTTCTACTCCCAAGATAGACAACCCGGCTGTCGAAAATTAAAATTTACCTTGCTACTTTTCTTAAAGTGGTGTTGGTGATTTTTTTGCGAACTCTGACGTATAACAAGATTAAGGAAAAAAGTAGTAGCCACGTCTTGTATTTACAGGTTAACTACACTGGAAATTTATTGGCAGAGTGATGAACTGTTTTTTTTTTTTTTTTTCTTTCTGCTTCTCCTTAACTGAGAATAGTACTGACACTATGCAGCTCAGTCTAAAGAAGAGTGACTGGGCTTTAGTGTGTGTGTGGTGCATGCACATGTGGGTGTGCAAATCTGTGCACTTGGGCCTCAGCAGTCATTTTAATAAGCACCTGCAATCCCATTTTGGGTACTGCACATGCATGTGGAGCCAGAGGCTGATGCCAGCTGTTTTCTCCATTGCCACCCACCTTGTTTTCTTTTTAGACAGCATCTTTCTGAACCCCCAGCTCATTAATTAGGCTGGGCTGGCTGGCCAGTGACCAAGAATCCTCCTGTGTCTATTCCTCCCTCCCCCAAACACTGGGGTTTTAGACACACTGCTGTGCCTGGCTTTTACATGGGTGCTGGGAGCCAAACTTAGGTCCTCCTGCGTATGCAGCAGGTGCTTTGCCTCCATCTTCCCCAGCCTCAAGGGCTTAGTTTTTAGATGTTGCCCAGCTTATGCCTTTTTTTTTTTTTTTTTGGTCTTTTTGAGACAGGGTCTCCCTGTAGTCCCAGCTGACCTGAACTCACTGTAGACCAGGCTGGCCCTGAACTCACAAAGATCCACCTGCCTCCCAAGTGCTGGGATTAAAGGCGTGTGCCACCACGCCCGGCTGCTTATGCCATTTTTAACTGCTCTTATTCTGTTTTATTCTGTTTCCATCTTTGCTTCATTTTCTTTTCAAGGACTTTGTTAAGAGAAAGTTTGAAAGATGAAAATGCCCAGTTGGCTCCTCCCAAATACATAACAGTTTTTTATAATTAATTAAGGGGAAACAGGTAATGCCTTCTATCTCAAATCCTAAAAATTTGTATTTTATACTAGGTATTTAATGTTCCATAGAAAGATGTGGTGATACAGAAATACATTTTATTATCAAGCTTCTTCGAGAATATTTACAAAAAGTGGGATGTAACAAAAAATATAAAATGTACTGAACAGTGTTATTATAGACTACTTTGAAAATTATCAAATGTTTCTAAAAAACAATTTCTTACACAAACACAACTTGGCTTTAAGACAAAGATGAAAGGTTATATAGGCTATACAGTGTGGAGTAATTACTTAACTCCAAATGACAGTGCCTTTGCAATTTTTAACTTTTTAGAAAACAGGCATTCAACAAAACTAAGAGTGCAATTAGTTTCATGGTTTGAGAAGTTTGATTATAGAAGTACAGCAAATGAACAATCATTCCAGTTAATTTTCACCTTAAGCAGTAAAATCATAGTAGGCCGCCTACTGACTCAAAATTACTCTATCTTGTGCAAAACAAGACTCTGGAGAAATGTAGGGAAATTATCATCTACCATAGAAAAAATCCATTTATGAAAAGGTTTCTTAAAATTATTCTTCACAACTTCTGTATGAGAGAAAAAAAAATTACTGAGAAATGTGGAATGTTTCCTGGAGATACTTATGGAGACATAGAATGGCATCAGTGGCCAGGATGATTAAGAGACTCTGGGGGCATAGGCCTGGGTTCAAGCCCATATACTAAGTATATGACCTTCAACAGCTAACCTTGTACCTCAGTTTTCTTAAATGTACTTAACCAGTGGCTGTTGTGAAGATAGTGTAAAACATAAAAACTCACAACGCAGAGGGACTGCATGTTTCTATTCTTTCAAGGATATTGTCAGTCTTAGGAAAGCAGCTGCAGGATGTATCTGTGAAGGCCCTCTGTCTTTTCATATACAATACCATTTTTTCCTTTGTTACCTCAAATTCAGTGGCAACTGACAACACGTTTTTCAGATGATCAAAACATTCATACATACCTGTCTTCAGGACCACACTGTGAAGAAAGTAGAAGCAAGAACTGTGATCTTCATTTTACAGGCTGAGCAACTAAATACTAGGACAAACTGTTATGTTCCCAGAGCTGAAAAATAATGGAGCTAAGACTTAAATTCAGATTTTCTAACTCCAAATTTTTCCTCTTAGTGCAGGGAAAGAACAAAACAAAACTCTTGTTCATGTGATTACTGTAGAAACAAAAAGCTACTATTTCTTATAAGAGGATGGTCTCAGATCCTGGGTAAAATACAGATTGAACACCACTAATCTGAAAATATGAAAGTGCCACAGAACTCCAAAGTTTTTGGGTTTTGGAGGATTTCAGATCTACAGATCAGGGATGCTCAACCAGTGAAGTCTGTTCTAGAATCTGGAAAGCTGAAACTTGAAACACTTCTGGTCTAGGGCCTTTCAGATAAGTGATATTCAACTTGTATTATTCAACTTATGAAAATGGCTGGCTGCTGGAGCTGAAATGTAAGAAGTTCTTATTCTTTTCTTTCCTTTGCTATATTGATAATATGGTCCCACCCTTTTAAACTGAAGTTTTATGTCTGACTTCTACCCACTCCCCCAAACTGCTTAAAATAAAGTGCTAATTTAGAAACACTCTAAATGTTTGTAAATCGCGCCCACAGGTTAAGGGAAGAAGAAAAAAGACACTTTGCTATATAGTGAGGGTTACGTTTACCGACCCTGTACTGGCCTTCTTTTTACTACGTATTATTTAATGTTCTCTGTAAATGATTCAACCCAGGGTAAAGATGAATTACGTATTTCAGTGCAGAGCTGTACCTACTGACTGTTGGGATATAGCATGGCATCATGATGGTGTCAGCTGGGAACATGTTTGGCAGCAGAGTTGAGGGATGACAAGGCACATGTATCTGCTCAGCATTTATACCAGCTATTTCTGTTTTGTAACAACTGTTCAATTATCCTTATAGCTACTGCAATCTAGGAAAAGTGACTTTATTTAGTAGAGACCATATTCAAAGTTACAGATCCATAAACATTTAACAGTTCAGTGCTCCTTTTATAGGGATCCAGGAAAAACCCTTCAATGCTTCTAATAGTTGGTTAGACAAAAAGTCCTTACAGTAAATCATTTATTGTTAGCCTCACAGTTACTGCTTAACTACAAACCTGTTCAGCAATCAACCTTACAGCTCTTAAATGATTTGGTCAAGCAATAACTAGACAATCATAGGCTTTTAAAACAAGTGATGTAACAGCAAAGGGATGATAAATTAAGTGACACTGTGCTGATGTGAAGGATTAGGAAAAATTACAAAACCAGTTATTGCTTATGCTACAAAAATTTATATATAGAAAGTTTCATTTTTATTTCCTTGTGTTTTTATTACTCATATTCCCTTTCTGTACCTAACTCATGAACTACAGCATTGGTGTCACCAATTCTGTCTGTTTCCTCATGGCTCTGCATCCTTGCAAGTGATAGCCAACAAAGAACAACAGTTACGCAGCGAAGTATCTGTTTATGAAATGAAATCCTTCCTTATTGAAGTTACTTCATGATAATTAAGGATCTTCTTCCATATCATCTGGATTGGGAGCCATAATGAAATGTTTTGGGTACTCGAGGTTGTGTGTGTATGCATGTATTTCCCAGCGAGCATCATCACTTTCATGTGTAATATAACGTTCTCCAATACGAGTTTCAAATTCTCTGAGGTCAAGCCAAGTCTGATAGTCCTAGATAAAAAAATAGAATGATTATGAACCATATAATAAATATTGACAGATTCTCCCTGCTCTTTTGGTTAAGCACTTTAGTTATATAATCGATAATTCCTATTCCTAAGTTCTAATTGTAACAATTTAAATCAGCAATATTAAAGATAAATACTTCTTAAAATCTAAAGTCTCTAATAAAGGAAAGGAATTAATTTTTGGAAAAATTCAGGATTTTGAGACAACTAGTAATAATCACTAAAACATTTTGTTCTATACTGCTGTAGAGGCATGACTCTTAACATCTTCAAAATAGAGGAGTGCTTGGAATCTATTATCAGGTTAATTTACTAATTGGTGAGCCTATAATTAATTTGTTTTAATGTGAATTCTATTTCCTCATTCCCTTTAAAATAGTTCTAAATCTCCTCTACTTAAATATGGATTTTTGTCTTTTAACAAATCTCTGAAATAACTTATGCAGGACTCAAGCCAAAGATAAACCTTTCAGTGGACATTTAAAATACACTAGACAGAACAGCGTGTCACGCTAATTTTAAAAAGTGTAATGATTGCCTAAGTCCTTATAAAAGGCTAACTCCCTGCTTTCAGTTCATAAGTTAACTGTAAAATACCAGCCTGAATGATAAACTATTCAATTTCCAAAGGCTTAAGCCATAGCATAAATGTTGACTAAAGAGCACTTAGATTATCAGATTATCCCAAGAAATGTGTAGAATCTGTGTATCTTAAAGTGGTTTTATGAGCTAACATTAACAAATCACAGTGGATGAGGATGCCAAGATACAGAACATCAGTTTTTTACCTGTAGCCAAGGATGGCTAAGAGATTTGTCAACACTGTAACGTTTTCTCATCTTGACTTGAAGCAAGTTGTTTATCAAATCAATTGCTAAATGAAAAGGCAAAATTAGATACATGAATAACAGGTGCAGAGAATACCCAAACTTATGACTCTGCCTTGTGGAGGGCAGTTCAGTCTATAAAGAAAGATCCCATCGAGGAATTCTTGTTCTCGAGATATAGACTTCAGTACATAAAAGTGACCCATAAGTGCTGTATTAATTGGCAGCTTTCCAGACCACCCAGGCTGATATGTACCACAGCAGTGTGGTATGAGGGCAGTTTCTGAACTGTTGTGCCTTAGTTTCCTCATCTCTACAATTAAACTGCTGAGAAGATGAAATCAACTTAGTGTGAAGCTTAGAATGTGCTTGACATACAGGTGCTAAGCATTAATTTCTTTGGGGGGGTTGGTCTTTTTGAGACAGGGACTCCCTGTAGCCCCTGCTGGCCTGGAACTCGCTATGTAGACCAGGCTTAAGCATTAATTATTTAAGATGGACAAACTGACTCTCATTACAGTTGGTCTTTTTCCCCCTCTTCCCATAATACTGCACTGTTTCCTCTTCTGTGACTTGGTCTGCAAAGTGGCCAAAGTCACTGTCTTAGCTTCACAGGTGCAGTTAGAATCTGGTGCTATTACTAAACATTTACACTCTGCTTATTTTAGCAAATAGGTTAGGGATGATTTGGTACATGTGTTTTTTATTAGTATATCTCAGTTATTGGAGAAATGACTACTGCAAAATCAATGTAACTGTAAAACTACATACCGATTATGGCTCTACGTAATGATGTATTTGGAATAATGATATGCAAGCTTAGTTCCAGGGATGAGCCAAACGAAAGGCTTGCCTTACCATTTCTATTCACTCCCAAACTGGCAAAGATTTTCCATAGGTACTGAATTATTTCTGTGTTCCAACCCCTTATCTGTTCTTTAAACTGTGGTTTACTATATGCATCATTTCCAGTATTCTTTAATTTTCACCTTCTCAATCAGGAGTTTTCCCTGTAAGAAACTTACCAAATGATTCTGGTAAGAGGTCTGGATCACACTACCTTTAGAGCTCTGAAACACTTTTGGTGACATCAAAAACCTTCCAGTGGACTGTTCCAGTCACCTTTTTTTTTTTTGATGTGAGCCTAGCTATTGTCTTTGCCTGCTGTTCCTGAAACTTTTCCCAGTTTAACAGACTATCAAATCCTATGTCAGGCCCAGTAAATTTAGGAAAGCCAAGAAGGGCTAAAGCAGGTGGGACGATATTCCTCAATACTAGCTCTACTAAATGCTAGAGGACTGATGATGACTTAAATGGCATACTCTATAAGTAAACTGAAGAGGACCAACTACTTCCTCTTCCTTCCCTCCTTTTTGTTTTGGGGGAGGGGTTTGCTGCATAGCTCCAGGCCAGCCTCAAACCTACAGCTTTCTGAATTACTAACTAGTATGTGCCAACAACCCGGCTCTTTTTGAAATGTATAGAACCAGGTATTACAAACTCAAAAGCCTTCACTAGTCATGAATATGTGTGAAGCTTCCCAGTAAGAGCTTCCCAGCAGGAGAATTGAAAAGATGAATTGTTTATGAATGTGAAAAGCTATTTTAGGTATAAAGAGTGTAAGTTACAAGTGTCTATTCAGTGAGTTTACAACCTTATTTTTATTTTTTTGGTCTCTTTTGAGAGACAGGGTCTCTCTGTAGCCCCAGGTGGCCTCGAACTCACTATGTAGACCAGGCTGGTCTGAACTCACAGAGATCCGCCTGCCTCTGCCTCCCAAGCCCTGGGATTAAAGATATGCGCCACCACGCCCAGCTGTACAATCTTATTTTTTAAAAAAATATTTTACTATCTTTTTATTTTATGTGTATGAGTGTATTGCCTGCATGTATGTGAGTGTATCCATGTCGTGCAGTGCTGCAGAGGTCAGAAGAGGGTGTTGGATTCCCCTGGAACTGGAGTGTGGGTGCTAGGAATTAAACACAGGTCCTCTGCAAGAGCAGTCAGTACTCTTAACTGCTGAGCCATCTCTCCAGCCCCACGTTATTCTTAAGATAAAGAGAATTAATTACCAAAACATATACTTAAGAAAAAAATGCCTGTTAGCCTAAATGGATCTTACATAGCTGGGGATGGGGTAGTTAATAGGTCTTTGAATGATTACAATAATGAGAAGGGGTTTTGGCAGGAGGAAAGACCTAAGCAAAATGGAGAAAAGTTTAGAAGAGAGTGTACAACTAGTTTTGTGTTGGGGACAAGTGGGAAGTGAGGCTAAAAAGGTGTTTTAGCAAGGACTATATCAGAGATATATAGCTGCAGTGTGCTTAAAGGGAAGCCAACATGTTTGGGAGGAGAATTGGATGAAACAACTGCTCCTGAAGATGGATCTGGCAGTGGTGACTAGGAATAACCAGAGAAGAGTTTATGGGCAGGGCAATAAAAAAAGATAAGTAGTTTCTGGATGAGGTGGAAAGGGCCTGGGATTTTGCTATGCCTAAAAGTAGGAGGAAAAATTAACAAAACAAAGTAAGTAGAGTGCTCAAAGACTGGTAACTAATTAGGGAAGTGAGAAGAGACAGCTGATTTGTTATCACAAAGAATTTTAGAGAAATAGGTAAAGAGCTAAACTTTAATTCTTTTTTTACCTTCACTGGAAATTTCTTTCCATGGATTTGGTGGGTACATAAATGCAGCATTTTGGATTTGATCATTTATATCTTCATCTTCATTGAATGGAAATGTGCCACTGAGGCTCACATAGACGATGACTCCCACAGACCACATATCTAGAGAACGGTTGTAACCTTTACTCCTGAGAACCTCAGGGGCTAAGTAGGCTGGTGTTCCTACCACTGATCTCCGGAATGACTTCTCACCAATGATGCGTGCAAATCCAAAGTCACACAACTTCACCTAGAAATCGAATGTGTAAAGATTTATCAATTTACATACAAATACCTACCCCAAAATGTCTTCAATGCATTTACCAAAAGTATTGATTATGAAGACAAAACAACTGTAGATAAAGAAACTGAAATACTCTTTTGCCCAAAAGGCATATATGTTCATAGTTCTGTGACACTGAAGTAGTGTGAAGAGCGTTCCTAGTGCTTTTTTAAAAATATTTTATTTATTATTTTATGTGTATGAGTGTATTGCCTGTATGTAGGTAAGCGCACCCGTGTTGTGCAATACCCACAGAGGACAGAAGAGTCCATTGGATCCCCTGGAACTGGAGTTACGGACAGTTGTTAGCTGCCATGTGGGTGCTGGGATTCGAACCTGGGTCTTCTGCAAGAACAACCAGTGTTCTTAACTGCTGAGCCATCGCTCCAGGCCCCCTAGTGCTTTTTTGAAAAAAATGTATTCTTGTTTCCCGAATATAAACTATCAAACTCATGTTACCAGGGCTCAGTTTTTTGTCTTTTGGATGAGATAGATGGAGGGTATGGATCCTTTATTTGTCTTGTAAGGGTATCACTTTCCTATCATGTGTAAGCAGGCATTTGTGTGTGGTGTGTGTGTTTAGTGAAATAGAATTTATTCTCTGAACTGACTGAAAATGAAATAGTTTTTGAGATACAGTAAGCTGCTAATAGAAACTAACTGTAGGGAGCTGGAAAGATGGCTTAGTGGCTAAGAGCACTGGTTGCTCTTGTAGAGGACCTTGGTTCAATTCCCAGCACCTACATGGCAGCTAACAACCATCTATAACTCCAGTTCCAGGGAATCTGATGCCTTCTTCTGACCTCTGTGGGCACTGCATGACATGGGTGCATTTGCACTTACACACATGCAGGTAACATACTCATACACATAAAACTAAAAAAAAAGAAAAAAATCCCAACTGATTATAAAAATAAAGCATTGCCAAAAAAGAAGACAAAATGAAGACTTATGATGTGAATACTTATATTAATATATATATATATATATATATATATATATATATGTATGTATTTT